GCTCCCCTACCCCCATCCTGGCCGCTCGGTCCTGCCCAACCTCCCTGATGCTGTGCAGTCGCCCCGGGAGGAGGGGGAAGAGAAACAGTTGGGACCACCTTACTCACTAGCCCTCACATGCCCTTCGATTTATGCTAGTTTAAAACAACTGCGTGACCACAGCTTGATGCCTAGCTCAATGCAAAAGAGCCCTGTTAGAGGGCATCCTCCTCTGTACGGACTTGCCATCTCTCTTCCACCCTCTCGGTGGCCAAGTGTGTGCAAGGCTTACAGCAGCATGGAAAGGGAAGGGGTCAGGCGCTGCTGCAACAGGTGCCTAGGTACACCGGGTAAAGGCGCTCCAGTGAAACAGATCCTTGCGTCATCTCTTCAGCATTCTGTGTTTTATAAGGTATAAGGAAGGCGAGGTGGTGGAGTTGCTCTTTATGTGAGGGAGCAACTGGAATGTATGGAGCTCTGCCTCGGGGTGGATGAAGAGCAGGTTGAGAGCTTATGGGTAAGGATTAAACAGGCTAACATGGGTGACGCTCTTGTAGGTGTTTGCTACAGGCCACCTGATCAGGAGGTCGTTGTCGATGAGGCCTTCTACAGACAGCTGGAAGTAGCCTCACGATCACAGGCCCTGGTTCTCATGGGGGACTTCAACCACCCTGACATCTACTGGGAAGACAGCACAGCTCGGCACAAACAGTCAAAGAGGTTCCTGCAAAGCATAGATGATGATTTCTGGACACAGGTGGTGGAGAAGCCAAAGAGGAGAGGTGTGCGGCTGCACCTTGTACTAACGAACAGAGAGGGTCTAGTTGGAGCTGTGAAGGTTGGGGGCAGCCTTGGCTGCAGTGACCGTGAGATGGTGGAGTTCAGGATCCTGCGAGGAGGAAGCAGGGCAATAAGTAGGATCGCAACCCTGGACTTCAGGAGAGCTAACTTTGGCCCCTTCAGGGACCTCCTCGGAGGAATCTCATGGGGTAGGGCCCTAGAAGGAAGGGGGGTCCAAGAAAGCTGGTTAATATTCAAGC